TACTTTTACCCCCATTTTTAGAGCCCGCTGGGAGAGCGTACTTTCCTGAGGGTGCAAAGTGCCCCAAAAGTGCCCCAGTGCTGATTGGCTGGGCGAATTGCAAACCACGCCCGTACAACTGTGAAAATGTTGTGTGGAGACGCCATTGTTTTTCCTCGCTACACAAACCCAACGCACCAACGGAACGTTGGGTTTGTTTTTGAAAGCAGTTATGGCAAGCATCAAGAAATGATGAGGAGGTGTCGGCGCTTCTGGAGATCTACGCCGAGGACGTGACCCCAAGGAATGCTACTGAAGCCAGTTCAGTAGCTTTCACTCGACCTGGGAATCGTGCACAGCCGGCTAAAAATAAAGAAACTCAGGACTACAAACGGCGGATTCAGTGGCCAACGATGACTACCACGACGAAGGTAAAATCAACTACATGCACTGGGGTTTTAATCTGCACAATAATGGTCTCAGATGTACTTTTATTTGCTCAGTAGATCAAGCTAGCCATGCTAGGCTGAATAGGCTAACACCGGCCCCGAGCTAGCTACATCTAGCTAGCTAGATATTCTCGGCCGCTATGAAAACGTTTTGACTTGTGAATAACTGTGCAGTGTTTCTGTAATTTGCTTCACTAACTCATGGCACTAATCGTCTGTTTCAGGCGAGGATGGACAACTCTCGGGATTGGAAACAAGCGAGCTTTGCATTCTAGATCACAGCGCTTGGTCGTCCTCCTTACCAGCAACCAAACGCAAAGGTACACACACTGTAACTTTGTCTTGAAAGAACGTTACGCATCGAACTGATGTTCACAATCATGTTTATTTCATAATATTCATCATATTTTATGTTTAACTTGCCTCAACAACATTAAACAAAGTTCAAGCATACATACATGAAGCATGAAGGCTAATAGCCGCGTTCACACCGGAGTACTTTTCCCCGTACTTTTCGAGTTTAGTTCCGTTAGTACCCCTTATGTCGCGTTCACACCAAAAAGAGTACTGAGTGCCGGGAACTTTTACCCCCATTTTTAGTGCCTGCTGAGAGATGGTACTCTCCTGGGGGAAAAAAGTGCCCCAGTTCTGATTGGCTGGGCGAATTGCAAACCACGCCCCGTAAAACTCTGAAATGTTTTTGCCGCCATTTTATTATCCTCGCATTAGCATTATTAGCATTAGCATTCGCCCAGCGCACAAACGCAGAGAGACTAACTTATGGCAACACAAAAGAAAACATGGGAGCGGTGGAGATGAGGAGGTGTCGGCGTTCTGGCGATTTACTCGGAAGGCTTCAGTAGAAGCTGCTGGGAGTCCCAGCAGCTTCTACTGAAGCCAGTCCCCAACTCCGGGGACTTCCGGCCGAGGACTTCGGGTGGCAGTATACGCCGTGAAGTGGTCAGCGGCTCATTTGCGTAATCTTCCCTCAGGGAACTTATACCGGTGTGAACGCGATCTGTACTAAGTGCCCTGGGGTAATAAGTGCCGGCACTAAGTACGGCAAAGTACTTGGTGTGAACGTGGCTAGTGTTCTTTTTAACCAAATATCTCTCAGAGGGGCGTGGGGAGTGGCTCCTTATTTTCATCTAAAGTAACAGACGGAGGGTGTTTTTCAATGTCGAGGAAGGATGCTCCAGAGCCACTATTTCAAAGATACTACGTCATCGAGTGCCGCCGAAGGACTGTTCCAATGTCCAGCATACTTGGAATTCTACCGAGGCCGGCGTACTTCATTGCGGGAAATTTCGAGGCTGCACATGTGTAGACTCCGCGGTCTTAAAATCCTCACAATGCTTTGCGCACGGACCAATTTCCAAATCTTTGGCGGAAATCGCGCTCCATTTAAGGCGGGGCCTCGCATATGACGCACACCTGCACACCTGTTAGCCTGTTCCACCATTCTTCGTTTTCCGAGGCTAGGAAGGATTCTTGCCTCGCTTCTGAAGGAAGAGGGTGTTTCTCAATGTTGAGTACGCTTGCTTGGTAGCACATGTCGAGTACGCTTGCTTGGTAGCACATGTCTTCCGAGTCCCTTCCTTCAGAGGCTAGGCAAGAATCCTTCCTGGCATTCGGAAAACGAAGAGTGGAACAGGCTAGCAAGTGTGCAGGTGTGCATCATATGAGAGGCCCCGCATTACATTTTCCGCCACAGATTTGGGGAAATTGGTCCGTGCGCAAAGCATTGTGGGGATTTTAAGACCGCGGAGTCTACACATGTGCAGCCTCGAAATGTCTCGCTACGAAGTACGCCGGGCTCCGTAGAATTCCAAGTATGCTGGACATTGGAACAGTCCTTCAGCGGCACTCGATGACGTAGTATGCTTGAAATAGTGGCTCTGGAGCAGCCTTCCTCGACATTGAGAAACACCCAGTGACTCGGAAGACATGTCCTACCAAGGAAGCATCCTCGACAGGGGTGTCGCCTGGACCTGAAAACATTCGGGGCTTAGCCCACAGTGGCGGCGGCACTACAGTGGCATTTTTTACTGCAACACTCCCCACACGCACACACACAGTACACCCGCGACTGTTACAATGAAGGCTCGATAATCAGCTCACGGCATATAGGCAGGGGTAAAGTGGTATTTTTTATGAGTGGGGGGCTCACCTCCTCGTGGGGGGTCCGGGGGAGCATGCTCCCCCGGGAAGATTTTTTTTTTAAATATTGAAGTTAAATGCATCAATCTGGTGCACTTTGAGAGCAAAATGAAGAGATCTATGGATACCTCTCTCAACACCCATATGAAGCAGAACTGTAAACAGATGTACTTTTTCTTTATGGATATTTTACTAATCACTCCCCTTTTAAACTCTATTCTTGTTTTACTGCCATATAGTATTTCATAACTGTTTTTTCCTTTATTCTTTTTTTTTTAATAACTATAATGATCATATGAAGGTGTGCCGCGGAAATAATCTTTTGAATAATTTGTGACCAAACCGTTTGAGACCCACTGAGATAACTTAGACTAAAGTTATGTATCTAAACACTCAGAGAGTCCTTTAGCTCACCTGAGTCTCTCAGTCTGAGAGGAGAGGACTCTCCTCCAGCTTGTTATGTCCGTTAGTGCAGCTAGCTAACCAGATGCTAACAACACGGTCCATGCTGACACCGGTCTCTCCCTCCCCCTCTCTCCCTTTCTCCCCCTCTCTCTCTCTCTCACATGCGCTATTGCCACACACACACACAGAGCCGAGCTTGAATGACACACGTTTATTTCCATGCAACTCTCTGATTGGTCTGGTGTCATGCCTCTGTTGCATTCACTGAACACGGGAAATTACAGTGCTGCCGTCCTCTCTTGTGTCATGATGAGGTTCACGTAAAGCACGGTTAATGTATTATATTATTGAGAGAGAATTGTCCGGGGCTACAGAAAAAACATTCGGGGCTAAAGCCCCGGATGCCCAGGCCAGGCGACGCCACTGGTCCTCGACATTGAGAAACACCCAGAGAATCAGCACTTTTGAAACAGGGCTGAAACAGAGGGGATTATGGGATGCTGCAATGATCTGTTTGGTGTTTCAGCCAATCAGAGACAGGTTCTGTATATATCTGAGACCTATAATATATTGATTAAAAACAGTATATTAGGGGACCTTTAAATAGTAAAGAATTCCTCAAAAATAGTTTAAATGTCTCCTTAGGATAATCCTTAGCTCGTGAACATGTAAGGGTACTAAACACATAATTAAGTTATTAGAATAAATGACTATATATGTAATGATTTGCCACAGTTTTGACCACTTTACTGTATATACAAATCGTAACTCTTTCTATTATAATTCAAGTTATAAAATGAGTCCATTGACACATTTTACGCATTTAGATTCTGTCTGTTTTACAGGAAATATAACGGAGTATATTTTCCTCACAGACACACAGGCCACTTTGTTCCTCACTCATTTGACTTATTCTCTCCATCTTATCTCTCTGCCATGTTTCTGTTATCAGTCTGAGGTGCCGCTGTGGGAAAGCAGGAAAAAGAAAAGATAGTTTGGCACAATTGTTCATCTTTATCACCTCCGCTCTGTCCCGACACGATAAAAACAATACCGCCGTCTTTTCAATTCATTCTTTATTGCTTTTGGAGGGAAGGGACCAATCAGGAGGAACTGTTTCCTGATAGGAGGAGACTTTATTTGTTCGAGAGGCTTTTCATATCCAGCCTCTTACATTTTACAGGAGGGATGCTACGGTAAGACAACTGTTTTTAAAGTAAGTAAATGCAAAAACATGACTGATGTATTTCAACTTTTCAAAGAGGCCCTATTCCTCCTTTCCTGAAGTTTGTTATATCGGGTTTGGTGAAAAGTCTGACATCAGAATGTAATACTCGTACTCCTATTGGCTAGCGCTCCAACACATTATACGTGATAGGCTAAGGGGCGGGACATCTCTAAGCGGTTGACCAATCACAACAGAGCCGGCCAGCTAACCAATCAGAGCAAAAAATAATACAGTTTAATGCTGTATTTTAAACTATGGCACACATTTTATAACCATATTACAACGTCAAAGCGAGCAGAGTTATAATAAGATTTATATTGACCAGGTTTTTGCTTTGTTTGGCTTAATAGCATCTAAGTGAGAGGACAGCAAAACATGTGAGTCCCTCTAGAGGTGGATCGTGAGACAGGGGCAGACATGTTGGAGATTTACTGTATTCTTTATACTTACAGTGTGGGCATAATGAAGGTTTTGTAAAGTGGATTCTGGCGTTTTTATTACAGTCTTTTCTTTAATATAAATCAATGGAGTATTGCTTTTTCTTCAGTACATTTGACTGTTTTGTACTTTACTAAATAAAGTGATCTATTAGCCTTACAAGAGTGCAGATGTATTTATTGGTATGTTCTTTCCTAATATGACATTCTCTATATAGGCCCCTGGTCGGCATCAGAGTGTAAAACCTCCAGAGCTCTGCTGCTGCTGCTGTTTTTAACCACATCCTCAGAAACACTTCTTCAGTTCTCAGAAGAGAAATAAAGAAGCAGCAGGTGAGAGACTCTGACAGTCGAGAGCCAGAGACCGAGAGAGAAGCACGATGTCTGAATTCAGAAGGATCCTAATGTCTTCATTCCTGATGCTGCTGCTCCACTTTCCAGGTGAGGATGCAGAGAACACACTTTAAATAAAACAGCTTTAATATCACTAACGGTACTTTACTACGTACTGTTCCTTTAACTGAGAATGATGAGTTGTGTTTGTAACGTGGTGACTTTAGTGAACTCTGTCTGTGTTTTTCAACAGCAGCAAATGGGGAATATTCCTTCTTCACTGTCAGAGATGGAGATGAAGTCACTTTGCCTTGTGACAATGTGAAACATGATCAGGATAAGTGTGAGAGTACTACCTGGTACTTCTATTATGCACCAAACACACCAGCAGTGACGCTGTTTGAAGGCGGACAGATTCTCAACGATGCCAAAGGTAAATCAGACAGACTGAGAGTAACAGAGAAATGTTCTCTGGTTATAAAGAAGGTCACAGAGGAGGATGCTGGTCTTTACTTCAGCAGACAGTTCAGATCAGGAGAACAAGGTTCAGACTCTGAGGTTGATCTATTTGTTGTTACCAGTGAGTATTTACATCATAACAGTCTTGTTGAAACAATTTATTGAAACATTACAATAATAATGATTACAGGGATGAAGTTAATGTCACTCTTGTTGTCTTTCTCTCACAATATCTCTATCTTCAGTGACTGAGCATCAGGACACTGAGCAGGTGACGTTAAACTGCTCTGTGTTGTCATATGGATGGTGGTGTAGACACACAGTTGAGTGGCTGTATGAGGATCAAAATGTGGTTAAAGATAACAGAGACATTCAGACATCACAGACTGACTGCTCAGCTGCCGTTACATTTTCTAGCTCTTCAAAGGAGAAGACAATCTATCGTGGGTTGTTTAAATGTCAGGTGATGAACACTAACAATGAAGGGAAAAAACAGCTGTTCACCTTCAGCCCCCCTCAGCCCCCAGGTGAGGTTAAGATCAACTGTTTAAAAACACATGTGGATGTTACACAATATATATTATTTGTATCTAAAGTTTTACTATAAGAGAATTCTATGATTTTTCTATTGTATTTGTTAAGGTAATGATGAAATGACAACTACATCAGAACAAGAGACAATGAGCACATCAGAAGAGACGACCAATACTGCATCTGAAAACAACAACAACCAATCAGAACAAGACGGGAAACATCCAGGTAGTGAAAGAACAGAGATATCAACAGTTAGAAAATAAACGTAGCCAAAATACAAGTTGTTCATCCAGATGTTAAAGATAAGGAGATAAAAACCTCTGAGTATATGTAACTCTTGTAACTTCTCTCTTCCAGGTTGGTGGTGGTGGAGGATCATCGTTGTGATAGTGGGTGTTGCAGCACTCACAATAATCACTGTGGCTGTCAGCAGACGGAAGAGGACTCAAGGTGAGGACATTCACACATTATACTGTCATGTCTCGAAAGATCATTTTAAAGTTGTATTCTTTAAATGAGCTTTTGTCATGTCCCTTTGTCATGTCCCTTTGTCCTGTCCCTTTGTCATGTCCCTTTGTCATGTGCCTTCCTGTTTTATTTTGAAAAGTAATTCTCCCTCTTGTTTCAGGTCACTGTGCTCCCCGCCCCTATGTGTCTCCTGCATTTGTGATTGTCTACCCCGCCCTGATTGTTTCCTCCTGTGCCCCTTACCTTGTGTGTATATATTGTCTTAGTCTCCACCTGTCCTGTGCCAGTTCGTCTTCTCTCAAAACTCGACATACCAGCGTACTTTCAAGCCTGATCCACGTCTGTTGTTTTGTTTCAAGCTCCTTATGGTAGTATTTAGTTTTCCTCGAAAGAGTGATTTTGTGTTCTCTATTTTGTTAGTGTGAAATATCCAGTAAAGTACTTTTTAAACCATCTGAGTCTGAGTCTGAGTTGTGCATTTGGGTTCATGCCTCTTGTCCCTTTCACACCAAGGCTTTTCCCGTTCTAGCTCTGTGCTAGAGCTTTTCTGGTTCAGAACCGGTTCTTCGGTTCAGCTCCCGCTCTGTTCACACCGCTCAGAGCCCGACTGGTGCTGCGTCATTACGTCATTGTTTGCGTCATGACGTAACCGTTTGCGTGCCTGCTTCATAAAGCCAAACCGCGCGGAAACCCCTCACATCGACAACAACAACAATGGCCGATTGTGTTGAAGCGCTACTCGTTTTGGTTTTGCTCTGTCGAAACGAAATGGAAGAAATGGGACAACTTTACTACCGACTTTACAGTCGTTACATGCTACATTCAAAAGTTCTTACACAGTTACACAGTGGGCCAAAATTAAAAAATCTGTAGCCTACTAGCCGAGGGACTGGTTCAATGTTTATTGCAAAACTTATTGAAATGAACTTATTGCACATATTAAACCTGGAACTAACAAAGCTTAAATGATTGCCTATCAAAACAACATTACACAGGGTTAGGCTTTTTGTTGTTGTTGTTAGAGGTTGATCCCGCCCCTGCCCCCGCCCCCGCCATAAGCGTGACGTATGCGGTGCTTGCTTTCTAGACCGACAACTTTTTGGTGCTTGAAACAAACCGGATTCCGGAGCTTAGAGGCGGATCCGCTGCGGTGTCAACAGGAAAAAACTGTGCTTTTCAGGCTCCGGATCACAGAGTGACCGACTCCGCCACTGACGACAAACACACACACACACACACACACACACACACACACACACACCCACCCCACACACACACACACACACACACACACACACACACACACACACACACACACACACACACACACACACACCCACACACACACACCATTTCCTGCTCTCTTCCGTTAAGGTTTAACCCTTCCCCTCCCGTTTCAGTAGCGCGACCATGAGTGCACGCTTGTGAGTCTACAATTTAAACAAGCAATAATCTAAAGTACATGATACTTGCATGACGAAATAAATGAAGAAACTATTGATATGATTTAGAATCTACGCATATAGGTTTTAGTGCATGTAAATGTTCTGCAAAGGCAACCATCCCTGTGTGTAGAGACACTACATACTGATATACACCTGAACATCAGCAGGAGAGGACTCTTTAAAGTAGAGACACTACATACTGATATACACCTGAACATCAGCAGGAGAGGACTCTTTAAACTAGAAGCACTACATACTGATATACACCAGAACATCAGCAGGAGAGGACTCTTTAAAGTAGAGACACATACTGATTTACACCTGAACATCAGCAGGAGAGGACTCTTTAAAGTAGAGACACATACTGATATAAACATGGACATCCGCAGGAGAGGACTCTTTAAAGTAGAGACACTACATACTGATATACACCTGAACATCAGCAGGAGAGGACTCTTTAAAGTAGAGACACTACATACTGATATACACCTGAACATCAGCAGGAGAGGACTCTTTAAAGTAGAGACACTACATACTGATATACACCTGAACATCAGCAGGAGAGGACTCTTTAAAGTAGAGACACATACTGATATACACCTGAACATCAGCAGGAGAGGACTCTTTAAAGTACAGACACTACAGACGGATATTGAACATCAGCAGGAGAGGACTCTTTAAAGTAGAGACACTACATACTGATATTGAACATCAGCAGGATAGGGCCCCTTTAAGTTGTTTAATGGCAGCAAAAAGCAGGACTTTCAGAACTCCTTTATGCATAATCAGTTGTCTTTCCCTGCAGGCTCATGATGATGATGAAGATGGTGAAGTGACCGACAGCACTGTGAGAGCTCCCTCCTCTTCCTCTGCTGCCTCCGCTGATCCCAGCCTCCTCTACGCCACCGTCAACAAACCAAAAAAATAATACAGTTGAATGCTGTATTTTAAACTATGGCACAATTATTATAACCATATTACAAAGTCAAAGTGAGCAGAGTTATAATAAGATTTATATTGACCAGGTTTTTGCTTTGTTTGGCTTAATAGCATCAAAGTGAGAGTACAGCAAAATATGTGAGTCCCTCTAGAGGTGGATCGTGAGACAGGGGCAGACATGTTGGAGATTTACTGTATTCTTACTATTTACAGTGTGGGCATAATGAAGGTTTTGTAAAGTAGATTCTGGCTTTTTTATTACTGTATTTTCTTTAATATAATTCAATGGAGTATTGCTTTTTCTTCAGTACATTTGACTGTTTTGTACTTTACTAAATAAAGTGATCTATTAGCCTTACAAGAGTGCAGATGTATTTATTGGTATGTTTTTTCCTAATATGACATTCTCTAAACATCAGGTGTGTTCTTAAAGTACACAGTTTCACTAGTGACTCCACTGATCAACAACACTGCCTTTTGTTATCACTGCATATTCATTTATACATTAAGGTATATTCATATCCACCTCCTGTTGTTATTTATAAAGTATATATATTCTATATTACTACGTGTACATCACTCTGCATTGTTCTGCTTGTTGCTCTTATCTGGTCAGCATCAGAGGGTAACACCTCCAGAGCTCTGCTGCTGCTGATGTTAACCACATTCTCACAGAAACACTTCTTCAGTTCTCAGAAGAGAAATAAAGAAGTAGCAGGTGAGAGACTCTGACAGTCGAGAGCCAGAGACCGAGAGAGAAGCACGATGTCTGAATTCAGAAGGATCCTAATGTCTTCATTCCTGATGCTGCTGCTCCACTTTCCAGGTGAGGACGCAGAGAACACACTTTAAATAAAACAGCTTTCATATCACTAATGGTACTTTACTACGTACTGTTCCTTTAACTGAGAATGATGAGTTGTGTTTGTAACGTGGTGACTTTAGTGAACTCTGTTTGAGTTTTTCAACAGCAGCAAATGGGGAAGATTCCTACTTGACTCTTAGAGCTGGAGATGAAGTCACTTTGCCTTGTGACAATGTGATACATGATCAGGATAAGTGTGACAGTACTTCCTGGTACTTCAATTATGCACCAAACACAACAGCAGTGACGCTCTTTAAAGGCGGGCAGATTCTCAACGATGCCAAAGGTAAATCAGACAGTGTAACGACTGAATGAACACAAGTAGAGGACTCAATAGCACGACTCAGAGACAGAGGCTTAGGATGCAAAAAAGGTCTTTATAGCCAAGGTACGATACACGGGAGATCGGTCACAAGGAAAACACTGCTGGAACGCTAGGAAATAACGTAGACGAACTGGCACTGAAGGGAATGTGGATGCAGACTAAGTAGACAGAGGGAGAGAGATAATGAGGCACAGGTGAGGCTAATTAGGGATGGGAAGCAGGTGGAGTTCAATCAGGGCAGGAAAGCTGAAACTGAAATGAGAGAAACCAAAAATGAGAACAGGAACAATAACAAAACATCAACATGCTAGCTAGGGCTTTACACAGACTGAGAGTAACAGAGAAATGTTCTCTGGTTATAAAGAAGGTCACAGAGGAGGATGCTGGTTATTACACCTGCAGACAGATCAGACCAGGACGACAACAAGGTCCAAACTCTGAGGTTGATCTGTCTGTTGTTACCAGTGAGTATTTACATCATAACAGTCTTGTTGAAACAATTTATTGAAACATTACAATAATAATGATTACAGGGATGAAGTTAATGTTACTCTTGTTGTCTTTCTCTCACAATATCTCTATCTTCAGTGACTGAGCATCGGGACAATGATAAGGTGACGTTGCGCTGCTCTGTGTTGTCATATGGATGGTGGTGTAGACACAAAGTAGAGTGGCTGTATGGGGATCAAAATGTGGTTAAAGATAACAGAGACATTCAGACATCATGGACAGACTGCTCAGCTGCTGTTACATTTTCTAGCTCTTTAAATGAGAAGCCAATCTATCGTGGGTTGTTTAAATGTCAGGTGATGAACACTAACTATGAAGAAAAACAGCTGTTCACCTTCAGCCCCCCTCAGCCCCCAGGTGAGGTTAAGATCAACTGTTTAAAAACACATGTGGATGTTACACAATATATATTATTTGTATCTAAAGTTTTACTATAAGAGAATTCTATGATTTTTCTATTGTATTTGTTAAGGTAATGATGAAATGACAACTACATCAGAACAAGAGACAATGAGCACATCAGAAGAGACGACCAAAACTGCATCTGAAAACAACAACAATCAATCAGAACAAGACGGGAAACATCCAGGTAGTGAAAGAACAGACATATCAACAGTTGGAAAATAAACGTAGCCAAAATACATGTTGTTCATCCAGATGTTAAAGATAAGGAGATAAAAACCTGTGAGTATATGTAACTCTTGTAACTTCTCTCTTCCAGGTTGGTGGTGGTGGATCATCGTTGTGATAGTGGGTGTTGCAGCACTCACAATAATCACTGTGGCTGTCATCAGACGGAACAGGACTCAAGGTGAGGACATTCACACATTATACTGTCATGTCTCGAAAGATCATTTTAAAGTTGTATTCTTTAAATGAGCTTTTGTCATGTCCCTTTGTCATGTCCCTTTGTCATGTCCCTTTGTCATGTCCCCTTTGTCATGTCCCTTTGTCATGTCCCTTTGTCATGTCCCTTTGTCCTGTGCCTTCCTGTTTTAATTTGAAAAGTAATTCTCCCTCTTGTTTCAGGTCACTGTGCTCCCCGCCCCTATGTGTCTCCTGCATTTGTGATTGTCTACCCCGCCCTGATTGTTTCCACCTGTGCCCCTTACCTTGTGTGTATATATGGTCTTAGTCTCCACCTGTCCTGTGCCAGTTCGTCTTCTCTCATGACTCGACATACCAGCGTACTTTCAAGCCTGATCCATGTCTGTTGTTTTGTTTCAAGCTCCTTATGGTAGTATTTAGTTTTCCTCTAAAGAGTGATTTTGTGTTCTCTATTTTGTTACTGTGAAATATCCAGTAAAGTACTTTATTTTTTAAACCATCTGAGTCTGAGTCTGAGTTGTGCATTTGGGTTCATGCCTCTGAGTTAACCCCTTGACATATACTTTATAAACAAGAAGCTTTTGATCAACATGGGTTTTAAATGTTGAAGCTAAAACCAACTTTATTTTTTATTCTGTTTAGGGAATGAAACCCAGACCGATGACAACGTGGTGAGTTTAAATATTATATTATTCACTTTTTTTTCAACACACACAACAGTCTCAAAATGACCACAGGGTTAAAGGTATAATAATGGCAGTATTGTCTTTGCTCTGTTGCCATTGATTACAATGCATGGATGTTGAATACGATGAAACCTATACAGCAACTAGAATTCAATGAAATGGGAATAATAGTAGGTCACTTTAACGCTGCATGTTACATAGCAGATGTACATTTTATTTGTGCAGGCTGACCCTGAAGATGGTGTTTCCTACGCCTCCATCAGCTACACCAGGAAGAGCAGCAGGAAAGCCAGGGTAAGATTTCTCATTGATTACACTGATGACGTTGTGACGGAGCGGATCACAGAGTGACCGACTCCGCCACTGACGACAAACACACACACACACACACACACAACACACACACACACACACACAACACACACACCACACACACAGACCACCACACACACACAATAATCTAAAGCACACGATACTTGCATGACGAAATAAATGAAGAAACTATTGATATGATTTAGAATCTACGCATATAAGTTTTAGTGCATGTAAATGTTCTGCAAAGGCAAAAATCCCTGTGTTCCCTCCACACACTCCCACCCCCCCCTGTAGTAGAGACACTACATACTGATATACACCTGAACATCAGCAGGAGAGGACTCTTTAAAGGAGAGACACTACATACTGATGTACACCTGAACATCAGCAGGAGAGGACTCTTTAAAGTAGAGACACTACATACTGATATACACCTGAACATCAGCAGAGAGGACTCTTTAAAGGAGAGACACTACATACTGATGTACACCTGAACATCAGCAGGAGAGGACTCTTTAAAGTAGAGACACTACATACTGATATACACCTGAACATCAGCAGGAGAGGACTCTTTAAAGTAGAGACACTACATACTGATATACAACCTGAACATCAGCAGGGGAGGACTCTTAAAGTAGAGACACTACAATACTGATGTACACCCCTGAACATCAGCAGGAGAGGACTCTTTAAAGTAGAGACACTACATACTGATATACACCTGAACATCAGTAGTAGAGGAGGACTCTTTAAAGTAGAGACCACTACATACTGATGTACACCTGAACATCAGCAGGAGAGGACTCTTTAAAGTAGAGACACTACATACTGATATACACCTGAACATCAGTAGGAAGAGGACTCTTTAAAGTAGAGACACTACATACTGATATACACCTGAACATCAAGCAGGGGAGGACTCTTAAAGTAGAGACACTACATACTGTATACACCTGAACATCAGCAGGAGAGGACTCTTTAAAGTAGAGACACTACATACTGATATACACCTGAACATCAGCAGGAGAGGACTCTTTAAAGTAGAGACACTACAGACGGATATTGAACATCAGCAGGAGAGGACTCTTTAAAGTGGAGACACTACAGACGGATATTGAACATCAGCAGGAGAGGACTCTTTAAAGTGGAGACACTACAGACGGATATTGAACATCAGCAGAGAGGACTCTTTAAAGTAGAGACACTACATACTGATATTGAACATCAGCAGGAGAGGACTCTTAAAGTAGAGACACTACAGACGGATATTGAACATCAGCAGGAGAGGACTCTTTAAAGTAGAGACACTACATACTGATATTGAACATCAGCAGGGAAGGACTCTTTAAAGTAGAGACACTACATACTGATATTGAAAACATCAGCAGGAGAGGACCCCTTTAAGTTGTTTAATGGCAGCAAAAAGCAGGACTTTCAGAACTCCTTTCTGTATAATCCCTTTCTTTCCCTGCAGGCTCATGATGATGATGATGAAGATGGTGAAGTGACCTACAGCACTGTGAGAGCTCCCTCCTCTTCCTCCGCTGATCCCATCCTCCATCTACGTCACCGTCAACAAACCCAAAAAAATAATACAGTTTAATGCTGTATTTTAAAGTGGACCTATCATGCTATATTATAATAATATAGTGTAGGACCATACCTATATAAGGCATATTTATACTTTTTTTTTTTTCAAAATACCAAATAGATCATGCATTTTAGCCATGCTCATTTCGCTCAATTTGCACTTTTTTACACCTGGGTAAGGGCTGATTCAGTGAGAACAGCACCACCTACAGGCCTGGAATATGTACTACAAGCGTCTCCAGCGCTTTCGAACGGCAATAGAGTGGCGAAGTCACGCCCATCTACTTCCGGTCCATGGGACCTTATTTCGGAAAAATAATGTATGAAGTCAATGGAGAGAGAAAACTTATCTTTCTCGATCCCGTTTGAATTGTGCCGTGAATTACACATATGATGTTTGACAATCTTAAAAAATATTCCATGTCGTAAAACTGTTGAAATATAAGACTAGGAAAATACGTAAACTAGAAAGACTACAAATCCCAGAGTCGCGTAAGTGATGTCACAATTGTTTTCCCTCCACTAAAGAGATAGCTAAGATCAGCGCCATATAGATAGAATCTATCTATATGGCGCTGGCTAAGATAACTTTAACAAGATGCCTGTGTGCTTAGTACCAGGTTGTTATTATACCAGCAATGGGTCTTGCTCGTTCTTTCACTTCCCGTCTAATGAAAGGACCAGGAGTGGCTTGATCAAGTTAGCTAGTAGCTAGCACGTTAGTTAGCATTACAGCCTTGTCATATTTATTAGCCTTAACATGAAGTAACATTAAGTATCGTTTTAAAGCACGGCTGGATGAAATATTATTGGATACCTGTAAATGTAAATAGGTTGCTAATGTATACCCCTGTAATTATGTTGTGATGTCCTTTTGTTTTCTGTTTGTTTTTATATGTGTAACTAAATGTGCCGCAGGTCTCCCTTGTAAAAGAGATCGTTGATCTCAATGGGATTTTTTAACCTGGATAAATAAAGGCTAAAAAAAAAAAAAAAAAAAAAAAAAAAAAGTAACCCAAAAATGTTAAACAGTAAGAGTAGTAGTCATATTTCGTGAACCCTTTGAAGAGTACTGTCACCGGTGTGATCATTCTATAATACACAATTTAAGCCCGGGGGAGAAATGCTAACATAACGCTAGCGATCTTCTCTACTTCATGCTATCTGCACAAATGGTTGACATTAAACATTAAAACGACCAGGCAGTTCAGAGAGAATCAAAGGAGGGCAGGCAGGCAGCTTTGCATGACTTTCTTCAGGACGTGTTTCATTGTGGTGATAGTGAGGGTAGTCAATCGTTTTGTTGACAAGACAGTAGTGACGGCCATCTTGGTGACGTGTGTTGTTGACCAGAGATGTAGTTCATTGAGCGTTTCACACAAACAAATGTGTTACTTCACAGTTTTACGACACATTTTTTTTTTTTGACTTGCAAAATTATCTTTTTAAATTGACAAACATAATATGTGTAATTCGTGGCACAATTCAAACGGGATGCGAAAGATAATCTTTCTCTCTCCATTGACTCAATACATAATTTTTCCGAAATAAGGTCCCCATGGAGGGTCCACACGGAAGGGGAGGGACTTCGCCACTCTATGGCCGTGGCTGTCTCCTCCTGATTTGGTGGAGTTGGCCCAATAGCCGTAGCGCCACCGGTCCTGACGTCAGGAAAAGTGTTCAAATCTGGATCAGTTTTTATCAATCCGTTGCAGCCCCTTTTTTAGAGATTTGGGTATGGAGGAAAATAGAGAGGGTTGTGTTTTCTGACACTTGGTAGGTTCCCTGGAACCACGGGGCGACACATAATTCATGTATAAAAGACGTACAAAAGTGCATTTTACATGATAGGTCCCCTTTAAATGGCACAATTGTTATAACCATATTACAAAGTCAAAGCGAGGCAGAGTTATATAATGAGATTTATATTGACCAGTGTTTTTGCTTTGTTTGGCTTAATAGCCATCAAAGTGAGAGTACAGCAAAACATGTGAGTCCCTCTCGAGGGTGGATCGTGAAAAAGGGGGCAGACATGTTGGGAGATTTGAACAACATCTTGTGAAAAGCCCTGTCCATGGTTTTATTTGTGTAAGATAAACAGGATTGTGCATGTGCTCGGTGTCAGCTTCTTGATATTTGAACCTGAAAATTATCATAATATGTCCTGCTTTAATATAATAAAACAACATGTTAACAGGTTGTTACAGAAATGCTCCTGATCTCCAGCAGAGGGCAGCAGAGGGATCATAGAACAGCTGCATAATGATAGTTTCTGTGCTCAGTCTGACCATCATCACCCTTATTTCCACTTAATCTAAACTCTCCATTATATATTATACATTTTTAATATTTTAATATTTTAATTTATAATTTTGCCACATTCAAACTCCCAAACATCCTCCTCCAGCTTCTTGTTGCTCTAAAAGGTTTCTTTGTGTATGTATTTTTCATCCTCAAAGCCTCTGGCAACATCAGCACTTAGGCCTGATGTGAAAAACAGGAAACATCCCATAATAACTCTGCATAAAGCTGGCCTGTCCTCAACCAGTTTCAAAGAAAACCCTGTGAGGAAATGTGGATTATTTAAGGTTAAACGGACAAAAAAGTACGCAGATTTTTGCTGTTACACATTGTTGTAATGGACCGTTTTATGCTGACGATCACTCATAAAACCTTCCATAATGAGGTCCCAAATATCTGTCGAGACGATGACTGCTCTGCAACGTATTTTAATCTTTCTAGATGTTAGCCTTCAATGGTTAATACACTCCAATATGTCTTAAACCCACCGAGGCAGAGAGGTTTCATGCAGAAAGGGACAGGAAGTCGTCTCTCGGGGACCTTGAAGAAATGAACTGTCTTTTTATTTTATTTCCACTACGAGAGATTAAATTGATATTTTAATTGCACCTGTCTGTCCAACCAGCCTTGGCATTTTGCTTCTCCCCCAAGTTAGAGTTTTTAAATTAGCTAATAAATAAAACGTATTTAGAAAAAGTTACTTTGCAAAAGTTTGATTTGAAAAGTTGAGGTTATTTTGTTAAGCCCGAGAGACCCCGGGGGCACTGCCGCAACATCTTGCAGGAAACAGTGTCTGAGGGCATGTTCATTTAATAAAACTATGAATGTTTTATATCCATGTAACGGGAAGAAACTCATCTAACTGATCATTTTTTTTTTTTTTTTAAAGGAAACCCACAATCGTTTCACATCGTGAGGTGACACAGAATCGATTGACACCAACATTACCACTGAATTATACGTATTTGCGACGTTATAAGCAAAAACGGACATCAAAACAGGTGCCGCTAGGTAGCTAAAAATGCTAACATTTTTACCTTGGCTCTGTAATCTCTCCAAAGTGGTCTTCAATGGCATTAAAACGATAAAAACGCTGCTGAAGTTAATCCATAGGTTAATCCAATGTGTCTGTCCCTTTGAAATGATTTCTGATAATCCATAAGCATTAAAACTGCTTTTCCGTTTCCAGATGTCAAAGCTAGAGATAGGTTCACTCTGATGCAAAATGACATGCGCAAAGCCCCCACCGTTTTGTTTCACAATGAGTGTGTGTGGGGGACTCCCCATTCGATTCTATTGGCTCTAACGGTCAGAAAGAGGTGTCAACCATCAAAATCGAGCAAGGGGGCCCAGAGATATGGAAAATCCACCCAAATGACCCCAGAAGTGGTTTCATTTTGCTAAATCTCTCTAAAAAGGTCAAATGTCACTTGTTTTGCATCAATCTTGATACAGGGTACTTATTATATGTTGTACTTTGGATTCCTAAAGCTTTTAGTCTACCTTACCATCATCCAAGGGTAGTTTTCACTATACAGTAAGTAAAAAAGAATTTTTGGACGGACACTATAATTTACAGTTTTTTACTATGTAAAATCTGAATTTTCTTTAAAATAAAAAACATCTATATTGATTCTGACTTTTCTACATCCAACTCACAGGTTTGTCATTACTTTGAGAAAAAAGATTATTAATTTAACCCTTTTAGAAGGGAAGATATGGTAATTTGTTCTGGGAATGTCATTTTCGAGCCTGAGACCTGAAAAACAGGCTCAGGGCTTAACAGGTTAACAAAGATCTTTGGTTTGGGTTAGATACACATTATTCATCCCAAATTAAAGATGTATTGTGGTGTTACACATGAGTTAAAAATGGAATCAAATATATATGAAAAATATATTATTATTAATAGCAATAATAATAGAAAAAATATATATTTTTAAAGATAAACATAAACTGTAAATAAATACACATCAACAGTATATTGTAATAGTTCAAAGGGGCTTTATTGTCATATATAATTACAAAAAGAGTGTTTAATAAATCAACATTTAAAGGGGACCTATCATGCAAAATGCACTTTTTTATGTCTTTTATACATAAATATGTGTCCCAGGTGTGTCGGGGAACTCACGCAGCGTCAGAAAATAAAACCCTCTCTCTTTTCCTCCGTACCCACATCTCTAAAAACGGGGGTACAATGGAGCTGATCCAGATTTGCGTCCGATATGACGTAATATCTGAAATGTGGACCCACGGCACTATCAGAAACGTTGCTATCAGAAACAATGCCCGACTGTTTTGGATGTAATATGGTCGGTGCATGTTTACATTAGCATCGCTAACACTCAGAGCTAACCTGTACTGGAGAGCATGTGTGTGAAGAAGCAGGAAATAAAAAGGAACTCACCTTGTGGTATAACCGGCAAGAGAGAAAGCCTTTGAGCTCCATACTGTTTCAGAAATAATCCTTGATAATCCATGATATGGCGTTTCATCACGGCAGTATTTAGTTTAGACAGTAGCTGCCGGGTCCCTCATGAGCTCAGCCCCCTACTTTTTATTTTATCAAAACTTTTTTTTTAAAGCTTTATACCCCAAATCAGCACTTTTGAAACAGGAAGTGAAATAGAGGAATATGAGGCATGGCTAGAATGGGTGATCTGTTTGGTATTTTGAGCGAAACACTTCATAGACATCTTTTTTATATAT